AAGAGTTTGCCATATTTATTTAATTAATGTTTAGAATGGAGTAGGTATTTTGTTATTTTCGAACACAAAAAGTAAATTATGGAACAAGCAAAGGGTCATTTAATTTAATTATTTGTATTATTTTATGACAATAAGTTAAAGATCTTAACAAATACCGGTCAAATTAGGTATTAATTAAATGAAGTGCAATAAAAATTACTCTTTAAATTTCTTTTGTTAATCTTATTTTTAATATTCAAAAAATTAATAAAAAAAATAGGATAATGCTATAGGTAACCCTTAATGTTATAAATAAGCATTTAACATTTTTCTTGATTTGGTATTAATTTAGAAATGTATGACAAAATTATGAATAAATTAGTGTAATTAATTTTGTTTTCATTGTTCTTTTCATTTTTAACCCCTTATATTAGCCTTAAAGCTATGTTTATTATTTTCTAAATAAATTTAATATGTGATTTATCAAAAATTATCATAGCGTGTAAGTTTAAAATATTGAACCTTTATGATCTGATCTAATAAACTATATTTTGACAATATATTGATGTTCAAATCAAATATACAAGCATTGAACACTAGAAAAATCGACAAACATGACAAACAAAAGAAGTTGATAAAATATTAAAATAGCAATAGAAGAATGAAAAGTCATCAAATCCTAAAACTTTAATTTAATAATTACGAAAAATAAAATTAGTAAACAAAAATGATAAAAAGTTAACTACTCCAATTATAAAAGTGTTTAAACTGTTCGACCGACGCGTAGACCAACTACTTTTAGAGTAAGTTACAAATTGATCAATTAGAATGATACTTTTATGAATCAGTTGTTTTAAATTAATCACCATTGTTATTGATTCACTTTGTATGAGCGGATCTAATCATGGATTTTTTAATCCAAAAAACATTTGCATGCAATTGGCGTCATACTACTCCATAATAAAGAACTCATTATTCCAACTTTTTTAGTAAGGACGTTGGAGATAATATTGAGTTTTAGTAATGTGATGATGTAAAAATATTTTCCAATATTAGATTTGTTACCGCGTAACTATTCTTTTGTCATTTACAATATACTCTGTAATAAATAAATAAATAAATAATAAATAAAAATTGTACGGAGAGCTCGAAAGGTGAGGGACAGGCGTGCATGGTGCTAGTGGGCTATATGCATATGAGAAACTATTGCGTGCAGACAATTTTCGTGCGGCTGGTAGAGGTGAGCAGCGTGTCGTGTCGGGCTGCCGCGGGCCGTGCCTGGTGGTGGCTAGTGCCGTGCCTGAATCTTAGCGGGTCGTGCCGTGCCGGGCCACCATTTGGCACACCCCAGTCCACGTGCCTGGCGTGTCGTGTCGGGCTGGACACCGGGCCGCCCATACTTTTTTCTTTTTTAAAAAAAATCGATATATTTTTTTTAACAACTTTTAAAATGAATTTACTATTTAAATAATTTTATTAATTTATGTTTATGTTTGTTATTATTATATTATTATTGTCCTTTTTTATTTTTATTATTCTTAATTTTATTATTATAGTTCTTTATTATTATTTATGTTATTTCTATTATTATTATATATTACTTATGTTGGAAAGAGCCGTTTCAAGCAGTGAATTATAGCCGTTTTGCACGGGCCGTGCCGTGCCGGACTGTGCCTGGCGTGCAGCGAGCTGTGCTGGGCATGCCTGGCCGTGCCGCGTGCCGTACTGGCGGGCTGTCCTGCAAGCCAAATTACCGCTCGCGGGTTCGTGCCGTGCTCGTGCCGATTTTTCAAACTTGTGTTCACGGCACGGCCCACGACCCACTCCTCGGACACCGTGACGTGACATGCCGCTGGCGAGCTCGTGCCGCACCCTGGCCGGCACAGCCCATGCCCAGCTCTAGCGGCTGGCTTGGCTGATATGTTTTACTTGTTGGCTTATATGTTTCATGTGTTATCTGATATGTTTCATTTGTTGACTTATATGATTTTTGTATTGACTAATACATTCTTTTTGTTAGCTGATATATTTTTTTAAAAATTTTTGATAGGTTTCTTTTGATTGCTGATATCAAACATCATTTGGCTTATATGTTTCTTTAGTTGATTGATATATTTATTTTGTTAGCTGATATGTATATTTTAATTGTTGGCTTATATGTTTTATTTTGTTGGCTGATATGATTATTTTGTTGGCTTACTTGTTGCTCTTGTTTGTTGATTTCATCCTTTTGTTGGTTGATACGCTTCATTTGTTGGCTAATATGTTCCTTCTGTTGGCTGATAAGTATCTTTTGTTGGCTTATATATTCCTCTTATTGGATGATATGTATCTTTTGTTGGCTGATATATTCCTTTTATTAGCTTATACGTTTTTATTGATGTCTAATATGTCCATAATAATGATTAATATCAAACATCAATTGGCTAATATGTTACTTTTATTGGCTGATATACTAAAATTATAAAGTATTTTTATTTCTTCTCTCTCCTCTTTCTTCCTCTTCTTCTTCCTCTCTTGCTTTCTCTCTCCTGTCAGCAGGTCCTCACTGACCTCACGCCACCCCTCACTCCCTCTCCTTCTCCTTCGTTCCCCACTTCCCTTTCCTCCTTGAAAAATCAGTCCGGCCACCGAGCTTCTCCTCGCCGTTTGTGCCGCCGCCGTTCCAATTCACTGAACCCACCACAAATCACAGCCCACCGCCACAACTCGCGCCACCACCACAAATCACAGCCCACACCACCACAAATCGCAGCCCACCGCCACAATTCGCGCTACCACCACAAATTGCAACACCACCACAAATCACAGCCCACACCACCACAAATCGCAGCCCACCACAAACCGCAGCACACTACTCTGTTAATTGAAGAAGTGAAGATTGAAGAACCCTAAAAATTCGATCAGTTCTGGATTCTTCATGGCCTTGTTCAATCGATTATGATAAGGTATGATAATCTTGAATCTGAGTTTTTGTTGATTCGATCTTTGATCGACGATTACTCCTTTGTTGCAATGGATACAGAGCTTCCCGACGACTTTTCCAGCAGTTGCGACCTCCACCACTGCCGCTACCGCTCCCAATACGTCCTAGCCGCACGAACACTTGGGTGCGGTTGCCCGCACCCAATAGTTTGTGTATGCATATTTGGTGAATAGCTGAAAACTGAAAGCTAAATCTTGTTCGCGGATTTTAACTAGTTGATTAGTTAACTGATTTGAATAGTTGATTATTTAGCTTTTTACATAAACGTATTTGATATATAGCGGGTTGTCTTATTGTATAAATGTGCTTGGTAAATAGCAGATTGCTTAATGTTATTTGAGTAAAACGATGTCATATGTTATTGTGAAAGATTAGTTATTGCAAAAAGATAGATAAATTGTTAAATATGATTTATTGTAGCCGTAATATGAGAGCATAATTGTCCTTTTTTTCACTTTAAATTACTTGAATATGTTGAAAAAAAAAAATGCTCCTCTAAGGTGCTTATTAGGTGGAATAATAGGAACTAGGAACCAATCTCAACCTTTAATCGCGCTCCATCTAACGGCTCACGTTTCACCCGCATTCATTAATGACATTTTCGTAATTTCGCATCTTTTCAAACTTTTTTTCCAGTTTTTTTAACTTTTAAGACAATTTCATTTATTTTATGACTGATTTCTCTACTTTTTAGAAATGAATTGAAACTGGAAATCACTCTGTAAAGTTGAAATATTACGAAAATGTCATTAATGACACAGGAAGCATGTGGATCGTCCGATTAACATGATCTAAGGGCCTAGATTAGTTCCTAATTCTTATATTTTAATCCTGGTTCTCATTATAACTTGTATACATATATTGCCAAGGGTAAAACAAAAAAAAAAAAAAAAAAAAACTATACATTACTATTAAAGCAAATTAAATGCACTACAACCTCTTCTGTAATTTGGTGTGCCCGGCCTGTAAACACGTTGCATATCTTTCTTGTAAATATTACAGTGTTGAAAAGTGGATTTCAAAACTTGAATCTAATTTGAATAAATTATATTCATATTTTGATGTAGATTATTTTGATTTCTTCTAGATGTTCTAGTTAAGATTTTCCATTTCCCTTGGATAATTTAGTTTAGCTAGGTTTAAGATTGATAGGTGTTTGGAAATGTCATCTTCCAACTTCACAATCGCGGGGTCCTTGGGGTTTAAAAATGCATGTGTAATTAGCTTCATCATCAAAAATTCAAAATGTATGTAGTCTTGTCTAGCGTGGTTGTCTGTCTAGTTGTCTCTCGTTAAGGGTTAAAGTAGACCATAAATTGTCTTTGATGGATCAAATGATAGTTGATATATTGCAACAAGATTTTAGCTAAGGAATATATGGCCTGGCCTTGATCTTGCATGCCTCAATTTTTTTATTTTTTTTGAAATTTATATCCATTTTAACTTATTCTTTATTTTGTTGATCCGTTGATTATGTAAAAATTCTTTCAATTCAACTTATGTATTATACGTTTATACAAATTGTACTACCTAATGCTTACAAAAATTAAAGTTAAAAGAAGAAGAAGAAGATGAAATTAGATCCTAGCCTTTCCCTAGCTTTGATATCAATAATAGGTTAAATTGTTCAAGTTTTACTTTGAAAATATTATAGAAATCATGAAAACTAATCCTATTAGTGTCTACAATAATTACAAAAATATTTAAAAAAAAATATGCTTACAAGATCGAGAAAAAAAAATTCCACGTAAAATTAAAAAACTTCAAAATTTCTTTTTTTTTTTTTTTTTTTTTTTTTTTTTTTTTTTTTTTAATATTAGATACTATGTACAACACCAAAGCTTACAAATAAAAGAAATATATAAACCTTTACAAAATTACAATAGTCTTAGCTAAAATCTATACATAGCCTTCCCTTACTTCCAAATTCAAGGGATGATTTTTTTTTGTTTTTTTAAAAAACATGATCATAAATAACAGACAAACCAAAATCTCACGTACATATTCTTCTATTGTCGAAAAGAAAGAAAAAAAATTTGTGCTAACAATATATGCACTAGATCATCAACACTAAGCAGCAGACGGGGCGGTAACATAATGAAGAACACCAGCCTCCGTGAGTGCCGCCCTGAAAGGTTGCAATGTCTTCTGAGCCTCAACTTCCGAGTTGTAATCAAGCGATTCATCGTTGTATATGTCAAACCAATTTTTCACTAGCATTTTTATGTCTTCTCTATCCATGTTCTCTTCTTTGCCTGTATACCTCCAAGGTTTCGAACCCTGTATGTCAAAAGTTAAGGGTGATTAATAACATAATAATAGACAAATTAAATTGGGTCAGTTTTTTAATTAGGTGGGTAAACGGGTCCAATCTCTCGAACAATACCCACCATGTAAAAAAATTAGTTAAGGGTAAGATAGAAATTTCACTTACATTAGCACAATAATGAACGACTTTGACTTCTTCTAAGTTGATGTTCTCTGGATGGCGCCATAACATGGCCAACACTAGGTTGTAAATTGGTGGGATGGGCCTGTATATGTCCTTGAAGTACATGTTCAAGAAATCCTACACATGTAATTAGCATAAGTAAATGAATTAACAAAAAGTAAATGCAATTAACAAATTCATCTATTTCGAATTAAATAATAATAAAAATTCTGAATCTTGATTAAGGGCGTGTTCACTTGAAATTATTTTAATGTACTTAGAATTAAATCAATTTCCTTTTGTAAACTTGTACGTGTCTAAAATTTACTATTTTTAATTTATGTAACTTTATTTTGTTTTAGGCATTCTAGCCGGTTCACCCTTCGGTCTTGGACTAATCCGGATTTGGGGAATCAGTCTTAGGTGGTTAAGTTCCACTTCCCTCCTAATTATTATTACGGGGAATCGAATACGTAGTCCTCCCTACCAAGTGTAGCCCCAATCACCACTATACCAATAGCCAATTAGTTTTTATGTACTTACTTGAATATATATTGTCTGAAATAAGTCAAATTGTGTTAATTACGAAACAAATATATAACTCACGATCCAAATCCACAACCCAATTAGTTACTCCATTCAATTTAATCATCCAATTCTCGATATATTGATAAAGTGATCAACAATATGTAAGATTAATTAACCACTAAGCATACCACCAAACCAACAAATTTATGCAATTTAATTAGAATCAATTGAAAATTTACCTGTTCAGCAAAAGGAGTAGGAGGGGTGATTTGGAGAGTCTTGAGAAGATCATGATAAGTAGAGATACTGGGCTCATACACAAACATGCCAGCGTTGAAGTAAAGAGCAGGCTTTGGGCCCAACAATTCTTCGGGCCAACGAACTCTATTTGGGCTTTGTTGACAGTATCCAATCTTGTATTGTGGAGTATGACTCCATGTTTTCTCACAAAAACAGTCCATTACAGCATAGAAGTAGCCGTTAGGAAGATCGAACAAGTGGTCTATATTATCGTACACTTGTATATCTCCGTCTAAATAAATCATCTTTGTGTACTCCACAAACTGAAAACACGTAACAATAAATTTCATCAGCTTAATTGTCGACAGCCTAATAATTAATTTTACCAAGCATCTACATGATGTACTAAAATCACGACAAGTACATGGCTAAGGTGTAAAAAAAATAAAAGGAGAAAGATTGTATATTATATTATTACCTCCCAAATGCGAAGCTTGGAGTAATTGATGACATAATAAGCCATAGCAAATTGGGTCTGATTTTCGGGCGGGTAAACGGGTTCAATCTCTCGAACGATACACCCTTGAGCAACCAACATTTTACGGTGCTCCTCCGGCACGTCGGGTAACACCGCTACCACCAAAGGATAAGCTGATCGAGCCTTTCTTAGGCCCTTAGCCAGCCCAATAACTCCCTTGACGTAATCTCCGTTACCCGCCAAGAAAGTCACATAGGCCCGGCTCATATGCTTCCCTAGTGGTGCCATAGTTGGCTCTGTGATCGCGGTTTCGAGGTTTGGTGGTGCCATTTTTGTTTGATAATAAGGAGAAAAGGTTGAAAAAATGTGTGATTTTTGAGTGAAATATGCTTAGTTTGGTAAACACAAGAGAGCTTAAGTTGAAGTAATTGAAATGAGGTTGAGGGAAATGGGTTAAGGGGCTATATATAGAGTTTAAGGTGGGTGTCTTAATGATGCATGAAATTTGATTAAGATAAAGTAAACCGTCATTTAATTATATTTTAATATTATTTTTAACCGTCATTTTAGGATTATTATATTGTTTTAAATTTTAATTTCTTCCCGTAAAAAATAAAAAAATAAAAAAATAAAATAAAAACCTTTTAATTTCTTAGAGTCACCTAGTGATTGATGACTTTTCATGAAGCTAAGGTTTTATTTGTTTTTTTGCAAAATGGATAGGTGTTTTACTAGCTTTTACTTATAATTACTGAATAAAATAAAGTTATCCAAATTTATGATATTTATTAAATGTTCTCGTCATATCGATTTTCAACTTGATCAACCAATTTTGATAGGGTTAATTTAAGTCATTGCAGGGTATTATACTTTATTCATACCACTTGTTACGAGTATATAATCAAGAATTAATTTCAAAATAAAAAATTACGATGTCAGATGTTAATTAGTTTTTACCATATGTACTCCGTATAAAACATGTATATTCATGTGGAAGATGAGTATTTACGGATACTCATTCATACTAGCTAAGTTAGTTAGGACTTTATTACATGTAATGAAAGTCGCACATTCAATTAATGTACGGAGTTTATTTCAAACTTATTTCTACTAAGATAATGAAGATCATCATAAATTTTATATAAGTATATTGTATATGTACATTTTTTATTTTATATAGATATCGTATATGTACATGATATGAAGTATATATATCTTAAGATTTTAACCATTATATTCTTTATAATACATACGAAGTATATACAATTTTTTTATATAATATAGAATTAAACGATAAAAACTTGAAAATCGATATAATTACGTACGTATATAAAAGAGCTTTACTAAATTCCCAAGTAATTAAGGAGTCATAATTAAGTAAAGATTAAGTAATTATTTTCCAAATAATCCAAATGTAATACTAGAACATTCTAGCTTAAAATCGTATTTGACCAAAAATGTCGGGAAAGGATGGAACACCCTACGTAATGGAGCAATTGTAGTCATTTCGTCTAGTGAAAAGTTTGAATTTTGTAGCATATGTTCAATTAAGTTCAAGCTAATTGGTTGGTAAAAGGAAGAAGCTAGAATCTTAAAATTGTATGGTTATCTTACTTAATTAGCTGGCGCTGGATTATATCATGCTATCCTCGTAGAAAGAAGAAAAATGATTGGATCTTTTACAAAGTATATCCACCAAAGTACATTCTGGGGATCTAACGATGCATCGCGAAAGCTAGCTAGCTGCGCATGCAAGCCATCCACGAGTCGCCATCTCTAGCCATACACCCATTGATTGAACAGTTAAACCATTGAATATCATTGTATCAAGTCCGTAATGGAGAGTTTGAGAATAAGAGGAAGGATGACTAACATATAAAATTAAACACAAATTATTGCGGACTGATCAAATATTTCGTCAGTCCAATTATTATTTGTACGGTAATACAAACTTCTCACACCCTCATTTTCACTATCACCACCAACAATACTCCCACTCAATTCTACTTCACTTTCTCTCTCCTCCCTCACCTTTAGGCTTTAACCCACCTCATTTTCTCTCTCCTCAACTTTTTGCTAAATTTCTCCATTTTATTTGTTCATGGTTTATGCTTGAATTGAAGAGGATGAAGAGGAGAGAGAAAATAAAGATTGTTGATTATATTTGTCCATAATATATGCTTGAATTGGCTTGATAATTGCTTGAGATTCTCGGATTTTCCGAAAAATGTCCAAAAAGATCGATTTGGGGCTTTCTTATATGATGTATAATTGTTGAAATTGATTTCCTATGTGATTGTATGTTGAATTGTGAGCATTTTGATAACAAATGCATGTATTTTGGTTGAGAAATGAGCATGTTATGTTATACCCATAAGCTTAGTACGGGACCTTCAAGGGCGGTTCCGCCATTGTTGACCTTTTAATTATTTTTATAAAATAAATTCTATTGTGTAGATTATATCATCTATAATAAGTTGGATGATATCATCTATAAGTTGGATGATACAATGTATTGTGTCTATAATATTATCTATACGATGGATGATATCTCCTCTATTGTTTTTTTTATATCCTCTATTCACTACTAGAATTCAGCTCATTTCCGACGGAAAATTTCCGTCGGAAAATTGTGAAATTCCGTCGGAACATGTCTGTCGGAAAACCTGTCGTCGGAAAAAAGGTAGTTTCCGACGGATTTCCGACGGAAATGACGATTCCGACGGATTTTCGACGGAATAATTTCCGTCATAGTAGGATCTGACTTTCAAAGATATAGTCCGTCGGAATATTCCGTCGGAAAATTTATTAAAAAAAAATAAAAAAAAAAAGCCCCACCCAGCCACCCAGCCCCACCCACCCAGTAGCCACCCAGCCCCACCCACCCAGACACCCAGCCCCACCCACCACCCACCCAGCCCCACCCAGACACCCACCCACCAAACGCACCCCACCTCTTACCCAAACGGCCCACCACCCAGCCAACCCCTGACCAAACGCCCCCCACCCAACCCCTGACTAGACCCAGGCCACCCAACCCCACCACTAACACGACCCACCCAGCCACCCCGCTTACCCAACAAAAATCAAAATTAAAAACAAAATTAAAAAATCAACAAAAAATCAGAAATTAAGGAAAAAATCAACAAAAACAAAGTTAAGGAAAAAAAATCAGAAAATCAATCCATCAACAAATATTACAAATTCAACAAAAATTAAAAAATTAAGGAAATCAACAAAAAATCAGAAAATCAATCCAACAATTACAAAAATTTACAAAATTTACAAAAATTACAAATGTTGTTGTTGTTGTTGCGTTGTTGATGTTGTTGTTGATGTTGTTGCGTTGTTGTTGTTGTTGCGTTGTTGATGTTGTTGTTGATGTTGTTGCGTTGTTGTTGATGTTGTTATGCGTTGTTGATGTTGTTGCCTTCGTTGTTGTTGTTGTTGAGGTCGTCGAAGGAGAGGAAGGAGGAGAGGAAGGAGGAAGGAGGAAGGAAGGAGAGGAAGGAGGAAGGAAGGAGAGGAGGAAACAGGAGAAAGAGGGGAAAGAGGAGATAGAAAGAGAAGGGGAAAAAGGAGAGAGAAAGAGGCGGAGGCAGTGAGAAAGAGGCGGAGAAGGGGAATTAGGGTTAGGTTTTTATAAAAATAAAGTTTCCGACGGAATATTCCGTCGGAAACTCTATTTTATTTATAAAAAAAAATAATTCCTGTAAATTTTTATATAAAGATTTTCCGAGGGAATTTCCGACGGAATTTTCCGTCGGAAATTCCCTCGGAAAATCCTTTAATAATTTTTTTTTGTTTTTCCTGTTTTATTTACAGGTTTCGACGGAATTTTCAGTCGGAAAAATAATTTTTTTTGTTTTTCCTGTTTTATTCACAGCTTCCGACGGAATAAATTCCGGCGGAAAATTTCCGAGGGATTTTTCGACGGAATTTTCCGACAGGTCGTAATTCCGTCGGAATTGTCGAATTTTCCGACGGAATATACGTCCGTCGGAACTTTTCCGTCGGAATTTGGCCTATTTCTTGTTGTGATTGTTTTTAAGATACTAGTATCTTCTATGAGTTGGATGGTATCCTTGTTTTGATAATATCCTCTATTGTTTTTATGATATATTTTATAAGTTGGATGATATCCTTTATTGGTTTTATGATATAAGCTAGATGATATCATCTATTGTGTATATGATATCATCTATAGACTGGATGATATTATTTATAATTGCGTCTATGATTTCCTCTGTTAGCTAGATGATATCCTCTATTGGTTATATGATATCATTTATAATTGTGTCTATGATATCCTTTATTGACTGGATGATATCCTCTATTGGCTATATGATATCATTTATAATTGTGTTTATAATATCATCTATTGGCTATATGATATCATTTATTATTGTGTTTATAATATCATCTATAGGTTGGATGATATTCTCAATTGACTATATGATATCATTTATAAGTGTGTCTATGATATCATCTATAGGCTGGACGATATCCTCTATTGGCTATATGATGATATCCTCTAACAAACTTTAGTATCCTCTACCAAAAATAAATTGTACATATTTTCTATCAAATACTACATATCCTATAACAAACAATACATATCCTACAACAAAACTGTACGTATCTTCTATTAAATAACACATATCCTCCAACAAGTTGTATATATCCTGATCAAATACTGCATATCATATATACTTGACGCACGAATTGTTTGGTGCGACTTGCCGCACTCAATACCTTCTCAAAATTAAATTAGTAGACGTAATAATGAATTTTAAGATGAAATCTTTTGTACTTGTGTAGTTGTATGTGATAATTAAGATATCTTTATATTAGATAATCCTTGAGTGAGTTGAGACTAATTGTCCCACATTGATCAAATAAGAAGGAGGATGTTTAATTGTAACATATAATATTGAATTATTATACTTATTTTCAATTGGTTATTGATTTTAATTAAGAAGGGATATTGATGGGTTTAATTACCTCTTATGATATATTATATGGCGTATATGATATGACTATGTGCCTATGTGTGTAGGGCAAATTGACATATCTTGACTGAATTTATTAGAGGTATTGAAATTTGAATCTGTAATCTCTCACTCAAAACTAATTATTATGCCGTAATACTTTATAAGTAAAGTAGTTATTAAAATTTATAGTTCTAATAACTAGTTAGTCAAAATATTTTAAAGGGGGCGGCCAGTCCTGATTGGCCCCCTATGGAAGGTCCTCGTGTGTAGAGGTAGACCCATTGAAAATCTGCCATCCAATTATTTCAACATAGAATTTATACATTAACTATATTTTGGATGGCTACTTGTAGGCAATCCTCCGTAATGCTGTAGAGTGTGCAAAGATTGATGAAAAATATATGTACAGGTGTCTTATTAAACTCTTAATTACTAAATGTAATGTGTATGAAATTATGCATGCCTCCGGTCCATATTAACTTTATAATTAATGTTCATAATTTCCAAAGACACGATCATAAAGCAACGCCACAAATCGTGCTATGTTTGACGCATAATTTGTTTGTTTACACCGTTGTATGTTTATATGTATGATCGTGTAATAAGATGTTGAACAAACATGCAAGCTAAGTAAGAATAGAGAAATTAAGATTATGGGTACGGTGTTTTCGAAATTTATGCACAATATACGATATTTGCACAAACGTGTAATTGCAATTAATATGAGATGATGAAAGTGTCAATTTTTTAGCACAAACTTCGTTCCTTTTGTATCTGTCAACATACTATTAGTCCCGACGTCCCGTCTACATTTGCACATATAATGCATACTTGTATACGTTATTAACCATCTACAAACCAAATACCTAATTGAGCCTTGTTAAGAAATTCGACTTTACAATATCGTATAAGCAAATCACTATGCATAAACTTTTTTTAATCAATCTTGGTTAATCGATTATTAAAGAACTAAATAAGGTTGAATTCTGACAACTACAAGTAATAGATTATATGTATCTCTAATCTCTTTACCTCGCCAATTCAACTTCCTCCATGCTCCATCTTAAGTACAAGCTAAGCAAAGTAAGCTATAATTAAGATTGGAGTCTTGGAGGACAACCATATACCCTAAATTGTACTCCTTTCGCCCGTTTATGCTAGCCTCAATGGAGTGTATTTAATTACTTATTTAATATTTTATTATTTTGTTTGATTCATAATAATTTAATATTTTATTATTTTGTTTGATTCAATTGAAATAAAAATTGATGATGGGTCAAATACTCAAATGTAATGTATGTAGTAGTAAAGTAATGATTCCTCGTGACTACTTATACTATGTATAATTGTAAAAAGTGTTATCTTATGTCTAGTGAGTATAAGTTAAGGATTAGAGTATAATAGGTAACAAAATTATTAACATATGCCCTTAATTACTAACTTTAACCTTCTCATTTTAATTCTAATCCACATCTTTTGATCCTCTCCCCTTATACCAAACTCACCTACTTATAGGATTTGAGGAATAAGGGGGCTTAATCCTCCTTATCTCGTTCTATATTATCTCTATTCTTAAGGGAAAGTCTTATATATCTTCCCCTAACCCCTATCCCTCTCCTCTTTAGTGTAATGTTTGTTTAGGAGGATGGGGATTAGAGGAGCTAGAGTTGGAGATAGGGATAGAATAGTAAAATCTCCTTGTTATCCTACAAATCCTATACCTATTAGGAAGGGAAGGATAAGGACCTTAATGAAAAGTAATGAAGGAGGCCGGGAGAGAAAAACGAAAGAATGATAAGGTATGTCAGTAAATTTGATACTTATTTACCTCAAACATTAATTTTCTATCCTATCCTCGTCACACACTCTTATCTGTCACTGATCGTAAATAAGTTTAATACATACTCATAAAAAATTAAAAAAAAAAAGGTAGGCCAAACTTAAAAATAACGGAGTTTATTTACCCACTCACTTTTTTTTTTTACGATTTTTGTACTATTTATATAAATGTATCACTTTGACTTTTGTACTATTTATATACAAGTACTAATTTTAACTAACTATTACATATTATTAATAATATATAAATATGATTTTTATTATGTAAAATGTTATGAAATATTAGTTTAATTACAATACATATTATATAATATTTATTTTTTATATTTTTTTTATTAATAGATTATTATCTCCATTTTTTTTATTATATGTAATAAAAGAAATATTTTATATCTCATAAATAATACTTTTCTATTATACATAATTATAAAAAGAGATAATAAAAAAGATATTACAAAATAATAGTTAAAGTTACCCATTGACATATATATTAATCAAAGTGATATGCAATTTAATTTAAAAAGGCGAAAGGGTACTCAATCACCTACCAAAAACAAAATACTCGAACTTTAATTCCACATGCCATATTTTTGGAAGCTATAGTAGGCCCTAAAACTAACATACCTCATACCTCCACGTAAGCATACGCCTGCACGCGTCACGTCCATATTACTTACCGTCATTAAAATTTAACGGGTCCCAGCCGACAATTTTATGGGACCCACCAAAAATATATACGTGGCAGCTTATTTGAGCATGTGGCGTCTGCAAATGTGCCAAATGTCACCATTTGAAAGCCTAACTTCAACCCACATGGCAAATTCAAACTTCCATAAACAACGTTAACCTCGCCATACGTCATGGCGTTTTGCTTTCCTTAATTGATCTTAGACTAATTCTAGTAGTTGGTGTTAGTTGTTAGTTGGTGGATTATAATAAAATTTAATTTTAAGATTAGAATAATACTCCACAAGTAAAGGAATTAAGGATAATTCTAGCATAACTACCATATAAGTATGACTAAAATTTTGACAAGATGATTATTCAAATTTTTTTTAATACAGATTAATTTATAAATAAAAAATCATACGACAGCTACAAATAAATTCATATTTAATAAATACGTTATAATTGAATCAAATAAAAGCTTTCTTTTAGCAGAAATATGATTGCAAATCGTACATTATTCATACCCTCTTATATATCGCTGTGATTTACAGCCTTTTTCGACGAGGGGTCTATCGATTTGTTGTAGTCATGAAGAAAATTTTCGTTTGTTTCATCTGATTGTAATCGAAGGATTAACCTCTTTTTCAATCCCGCACAAATCTTTACCTATGAAACAACTTGTACCATACTAAACTCAAAAAACAAAAACAAAAACAAACTAGAACAAAGCCCACCATAGGAGCACTTTCTACACTCAAACCCACTATAGTGGTACTTACTACCTTCAAAGAGTGTAGATTTATTGGACTCAATAACAAAAACATAAATAAACTAAAGAAAAAGGGTCGAAAATAGCCAAATTTCCAGCCTACAAAACACTTTATTCAGAAAAACCTAGAGAGAAAAAATAAAAAGTAAACGACTAGGGTTTTTTGCAACGGCAGCTTTCCCAGATGATTATTTAAATAAACTTTTTAAGATAATGGATTTTTATTATTTAGCTTTTTGATACAAAAATATGAGTAAGCCACCGACGTTTAGTTGTTAATTATTTGACTTAGGTTACTACCGCCATGCATAAAATTCGAGGTTTCGTGTTATGGTAATGTTTTTATATATGGGATGGCGGCTATTTAAAAATAGTAAAGACAGGGTGATAGTTTTTAGATTTGGTTGGTAAAGTATGGGAATGACCGAATGATGATAGCTAACATGTGTAATTTCAAATCGTGTTTAACATAAAATAGGCACACATTAATGTGCGGGTGTACCTTCCTTTAGGTATCTATATCTTATTGGCTAAAGAAAGTAACGTTGCAATTAATTTATAACCTTCTTAAAATTATGAGGTGATTAAAAGGAAATGGATGAAGTAATTAAAATTGGATGTTTGGATTCGATCAATAGCATTATTATTTTCTTTAGATTATCATTCCTCAAATTTGTCTGCTATAAGTTGACTAGTTGGGCCAACAAATATTTACGGAATTATTTGTGTGGATCAAGCCAGTTCCCAAAAGCCTTATGAATTTGGGCTTCCACAAGCTCTCTTTTTATCAAGCCTAGTGGATAGCCCATCAAACAGATTCCAGTGCAAAAGCTGTGCTTCATGATTGAGAAAAAAAGTCAAAAACACAATTTGGTTTTTGGAGGGCTAATTAAACAAGTCTGAGACATGACTAATTACTTGTAATATATTTGCTTCATTCATTACCCAGCCACAATAATCTCAGATTATAATCAATATTTGAAGAGCGCGAAAAAATGTACTCTGTAGCTTACAACAAGAAATAGTTGATTATAGCAGAAAACTGTTTTAGACAGTAGCAAGGGTCTTGCCCAAGATAATGTCATCTGTTTCAAAATCAGCTGCTTTCCTGAATGTTCCCTTTCCAAAGTCAAGGCTGTATGAGTCTGTGAGGCCTTCGACTAAGTCAAACTTTGGTGTCCAACCAAGTTCCTTCTTTGCCTTTTCTATTGATGCAAAGAAATGCTGCATTTAAGAAACAAACTTGGAATTAGGACTAGTTATATCAGTTAGCTATATCAGGTAGGTCCATAGATGTTTTGAAATTAAATTATCAGGGATAGAACTATGATGAAATAAGTAGTCAGTGTGTTGCAAGAAAAAACCGACTATAAGCGCAAGTTCAACCTTCTATGCCACAATTCTTCTAGGAAAATCTTTGACGGTAAGGCCTAGAAATTGTTGCTGGAACCTACTGTGGGTCTGTGGGAGGATTTACTCTGCATGTATGTGGGTTAAAGAAAAATTGTCGTACATTGGAATAATGGTAGGAGGGACCAAAAGAAATGGCCAAATAAGTGAAGTTGCCACCCTTTCTATTGTCAACTGTGGGTTTTTGGATAGAAACTCGTTGGACTATAATGCTGTTACCACTTTCTCTTGGCGTGGCTTGGCTTAGGCACAACCAGCCATAGCTACTTATTAAGCAGTCTTGGGCATAACATTGCATTCAGAAAGGAATTCATAAACAGAATGAGAGAGGATTCTTTCCTATATGATCCAAAAATTTAAAACTCCGTATCACCCATTTCATATCATATATGGCACAGATGGCAAGACTTCCTAGTGTTACAGTGTAATTGAATATTTTGTTGCTGGTAATCTACTAATCTATTATTGGTTTTCGTCTATTTTTTTTATGCTATGAACATTTATTTTATTCTGATACTGTTTCCTCTTATCACATGGAAAATGAAGATAAAGAAACGATTAAAATCAAGCATAATCGAGTGATACCTGGTCACGGAATGGGAAAGGCTTCTTTTTACCAAAATCATACTCCTTGGGGTTATAGTGGATAATCTCAGGTTCTGGAAATCCACCAGCCTGAAAAACGAACAAAATAATTAAGACAATAATCAGATTATTAACAGTTGGTTTCCAGTGTTTATAAATGGACTTTGTTTTAACTTTCACATATATATATATATATATTCAAACTTAAGCAACATTACCTTTGCACATGCCCTTGCTAGTCCATCAAAGGTTACATACTTCTCTCCAGTAATATTGAATACTTGTCCACTTGCTGCGTCATTTCCAAGAACATTTACGAATGCATCTGCCAAGTCCTAGTATAATTTCCCCTTTATTAATCTCTCAGTTGTAGATCTTGCCTTCAAGCAAGCACATAATCTATACAGCTATAGTCTATAGACCTGGTTATCTTCAACTTCAACTGATTTTTACGGAATTGAACTGATTATTACTAACTAAAATTGATCTTTCCTGATTAAAACTGACCTAAACTCATTTCGATTAATTTTGGATGCATTAAAAAAATAAAAAATTTAAAAATCTGATTTACATTAATAATGAACAAGGCCTAGATTCTTTTCATATTCTTTATCTACGAACTGCAATTTTCTGATTGCTTATACCTGATAGCACTGATAAACAGCATAAAAAGGTGGCTATAGTTTGTTCATGAGCAATACTAGTGCACTACTTTCTGATGGTATAATGATTTAAAAGCAGATTACAGTGAGTTGTTTGCTAACCTTAACATGACCAAGACTGGTAATTTGAATTCCTGAACCAGGGATAGGAATTGGGCGGCCAGCTTTGAGGCGATGGAAGAACCATTCTTCGACTGGGTTATAGTTCAATGGACCATATATGTACACAGGCCTTAAAGCAGTCCAATTTACACCCCTTGTTTGAAGCAAGCTCTCTGTGTCAAGCTTTCCCTTGTGCCTACTCTTAGGATCAACAGCATCTGCCTGAAAATATCGTGTTACCAGTCATGTCAATGAATATAAGATTAATATACTACAAACTGTTTAAACTTCTATGTTCTAACTCCATGTTGTTAGACACGGTGCAGTGCACATCACATATGCAACTCTGTAATTGTAGTCATTGGATTACCTCACAGTGTGGCAAGAGGTCTGATTTGAGATAAACACCAGCCGAGGAGCAGTAAATATATCTGGTAAGTACAAGAATGGATTGTATGTTACTTTCTGGATTTAAAATGTCAAGACAGACTTATCCTTGACTGTCTGAATCTATCTGCCTGACTCTTAAAGAAACACAGTTTAGAAGACTAGGCTTACTGTTCTAATTTCGGAAGTGCATCCAATATTGGTTCTACCTCAACTGCCTCTCTTCCTGTAATAAGGCACTACACATGTAAATATCCAAGTATGTATCAAGCCGTGAAGTGTGTAATCGGGACATACATATACAGCTTACCATTTATGTCGTAAACAACATCGTAGCCTTCTGCAGCCAGGCTGCTTTTAACAAAGTCAAAATCCTGTCTATCACCTTTCAAGTGTAGGATCTGTGAATGAGGTAATGTGATTACTGATTAGAATAACCATAGTGGTTAAAAAAAGAGCTATTGAACCACTGTTTTAAAGTTGATGAAATCATATACACTTCGTATTTATCAAATTGTCAGCATACCTTGGATGAAAAATCAGCAAAATCAGCTTCTGATTCACCAGGCAATTGTTGGGCAATTGGTGCTTTTCCTCTTGTGAAAAGTGTCACCTAGATTAAGGCATAACAGCAAACTTACTGTAATTTAGCCGATCAAGTCATCAAGACGGTACAGAATATGCACACCCATCAGGGGTGCAGGGCAAATCACACATAAAAATAGAACACGAATGAAATAATTTAAGTCCGTTTTGTTGTCACATTTGGTCCTTAAAATGTGTTGCACCATAGTGCTAATATTAACCCGTAAATTGAATAGAGCACAAATAGTGGGATAAATGATTTGGATTCAACACGAATACCTGATGTCCCTCCTTGACAAGGAGTCTTGACAAGAATACACCGATGAATCGGGTGCCTCCCATGATAAGGATTTTCTTGGCACTTGATGCTGTAACATGTAATGCTCCTTTTGGCTGCACCACATTTCTCTTGAACTGCAACAATACCCAACACCAAGTAAATCAATTTCTTACAAACAAGACGTCCACAAGCTTAGCACAATTTGTAATTAAATTCTAAGCTAAATCAAGATCATTTGAATATTACTTCAGGATGTATATAAATTTATACTTCACAATATTAGAGATTAACAATGAATCAAAAGCACTCAAAACATTGTAACTTGGAGTAGCAGCACCACCAACATTTCATTTTGATATGAATGATTTTTATTTTTAATGGGCATGTATCAATCTTTTCTACTAACAACCCAATCTATGGACTTACATTTTCGAGTACTCTTTCCATCCAATGTATAATTGTTACACTATCTACTCATACGCAACTAACAATATACTTCATATGTCAGATAACTTAAAATAGTATATGTGAGTATTAATTCTTCTGCATAAAGAGTGCTTATCTGTAAGGCAGAAATTCGATCAACGGCCAGAGCTGTAACAACAATTCTAAAAAAAGGGGATAATTAATAAACCTTGAGCTAACTAAAATACCTGAACAGAGTGGGTGAGTCTACAGCCATTGAAGTCAGAGGAGAGAGAAGAATGAAAGAAAGCTGCTTGGTTTGGTTGAACCACTACCAATCTACTAGCCATTGTTTCTCTGAGTAGTTTATGGGTTTTTGGCAATGGCTGAATAATGAAGGGCTACTGCTTAGTGGGCTAAGTTTGGCCTTAATGATATTAATGATCAATATCATCTTTGTAGTTTGTGGTGTTCTTTCTTTCAGTTGGTTTCTCCCTCCCGTTTTCTCACCAGTCACTAACAGTTAGGATAAGACTATGACCCTATCTCATCCCCACACTTCGGTTTATAACATCCACACCCTTTCCCTCCCCTTGTTAGCCAATAGCTGCATCCGCCTCTATTTTCGGGTTGGACCACTAATATATGGAGTTAACAATTAAATTAGCATGTTAATTATTAGATACTCTCTCTGTCTTAATTTAATCATTACTCTATTTGACGGTTTTCTGACATAAATTGTGTTTGACTTAGAAGAAATAGCTCTTCGTATGAGGTTAGTGAGTCATTCCCAAAAAAACGAAGTGTAACAATTAAATTGCGATACATGAAAGATGAAAAGTGTAACGACTTACAGTAATTACTAAGAAAAGAATGTTAAATTGATCCAACAACATAAGTATCATAGATTCATAGCACTATATTTATACTCTGGAAGTCCGAACTTTCCTCCACTTCCACATTAGTTACTCATTTAATTACTCGTCACAACAATATTGTAGGAAAATGGAAAATAGAGTTTAAAAAACAATAGTAATAATTAACAGAGGATGGAGTTCATTTAATTCAAATTTTGTTGTATGTGACTTATTTTATCTGAACTTATATAGGTCAAATCATTTACTTGCTGTGTTTGACTTGTTTAATCTAAACCTAAATAATTGACGGGGTAACATATTAGATTTGAATTTTTTTTTTTTTTTTTTTTATCATATTTGAGTTTATTCTGCTTAAATTTTTTTTTTAAAAAAAAGTGCTTATCCAAACATATATAAACTTATTACTCTTATTATCTTTGAAATTAGTAAAAATAAATAGAAAGGGGCCTAAATATACATTCTTTGTATGAGAATCAACTGTTATGGACTTTTGGTGATAAATTTGGGTCAGCCCAGAAACTCGATACAGAAAAGGCCCAAAGTTATCTTCCTCAGTGATAGCGGGTCGGGCTCGGGTAAAAACCATTGAAACGTCTGTATTCTTTTTCTTTCTTTTTTTATTTTTTTTTAAGGGAAACGTCTGTATTCTGTAACAAACACAAACAAACCAAAACAAGAGAGAGAAAATAGAAAGGGGAACGAGGTGGAAGAAGAAGCAACAAAGGCCGCTTTTACTTCCCTCGATATTACATATAAGAAGCCATTTCTTACAATTTGGCTATTTTCAACGCCAAATCTTTCTTTTGTCTAGCTTTTCTCCATGGATCCGGTCCAAGTAATCTCTCTTTTTCTCTCTCTGTCTGAAGATTCAATTTGATTTGCATATTTTAGAAATTCTAGGGTTAATTTGATGAATTCAATAGCTGATTGATTATGATTCTGACTGTGATTGTTCATTACTTAGATCTGGCGCTGAATTTTGTTTGATTATCAAGCTTTATTTTTGCTGATCTTGATCTTAGTGGTGTTAATTATTTTGTTTGTCTTGGATTTTGCGCTGAATTTATGTACACCGATTAATGATTTTGTAGAAATCATTGGCATGTACATTTTCTGAGAAGATAATGTTGTCAGAAGTTTTGAAGGTCAATGTAGTAGGAAGTATTAAGAAATTTTGTTGATCTGCAAATTATTATATTTAGAAAAGGAGTTTTTTGCTAGTAATTTGTCTGATGCTATAATCGTGTTGTATTGTCTGTTGTTGACCGTGATCATTGATTTAATTGCTTAGATATTTAGAGCAAGTTACGCAAATCGGAATGTCTGCTTGCGAACATTGTTGCAATAGATTTAGAGGCCTTGAGGGATTAATTATAAAGAACTGTCGCTCATTTGGTGTTAAGCTTTCGACGTTTTGTCATGGATTTGGAAACAACACACTTCATTTGGGACTAGAAACATGCAAAATTTCCATTGACTGCCCAAGTGCGCTGGTTTGGTACAAGTAGACAGCTTTGAGTGCCAAAGCTTATTGTTTCCTTTGTTATAAAGTATAACATAAAACCTGGCATATCATTATTTCTATGATTAATGTGATTCTACTCCTAATTTGCAGGCTCCTACTGAAAATTATTCAAACCCAAAGACATGCTTCTTTCATGTATTTTTCAAGGTAGTTATGAGAGCCCATGGCCGATGGCACGCATGGTCTTAGTACTAGATGATTTTTTTTTTTTAATTATGGATATGTGGCAACACTGTAATATCATAGGTGTTTTGTTATGCAGGGTGCAGCTTTAGCATTTTACATTCTCTCTGCACTTTTCTTCGATAACTTCGTTATTATCTTTGTGGTTACTGTTCTCCTTGCTGCTCTTGATTTTTGGGTTGTCAAGAATGTAAGTGGTCGCATTTTGGTTGGTTTGAGGTGGTGGAATGAAATTAATGATTTGGGAGAAAGTATCTGGAAGTTTGAATCTCTTGATCCTGAGGTAACTACTCATTATTGCACTAGACTTATTCTAATAGTCATTGCATGTTGAGTTGCTTGACCATCTTTTGCTTAGCTGAATGGCGTGCCTTGCTAAGTTTCTCTGTATAAATTTATCTTTTTGTGCTGTACAGTCATTGGCTCGCATGAACAAGAAGGACTCGTGGCTGTTTTGGTGGAGCCTTTATCTCACAGTGAGTGAAATTCCTCGTTTCACTTTATTTTCTTTAAAATTCATTTAGTCCCTTCTTGCAAATAAATATCTATTTTTTTTTTGAGCCATAACAAATACAAATTAAATGTTACGAGGTAATCTCTTAAAAATTACATCCTGTTCCTGAATTTCTATGATGTTTGTTTTGGTACAATTGCTACCTAAATTAACTTTGTTAAGGACTTAATGAAGTACACAACGGTTCTAAACATGTCTATCTTATATAATTTGGGATGCTCATATTGGTATATTGCTATCTAAGTCCAGGTTTGTTCATTTTTCCTTCTTTGTAGGCTGCTGCCTGGATCATTCTCGGAATATTTTCTCTGATACGGTTTCAAGCGGATTATCTCCTTGTTGTAGCAGTGTGTTTGTCTCTCAGCATTGCAAACATTGTTGGTTTTACTAAATGCCGCAAAGGTGAGTAAAATCTGTGTGCATCATTGTTGATTATCTGAACTAAATTAAAAGATAATTTTGTGTGGTGTCCCTTTTTTGGTTGCTTAATCTGAGGACAGTTCTAAGTATATAAGTTCCTTTCTGGATGGTTGTATAATCACTCGGTCACCAGAATGCAACTAGTAAGGTTCCTTTTGCATTTCTATATGCAAGTCAATTTGCAATGGGTGTTTTTTTTTTTTTTTTTTTTTTTTTTTTTTGGGGGGGGGGGGGGGGGGGAGGGAGGGGGGGTAGGGGAGCCCTCAGTTTCATTTGGTAACCCAATGAAACATTCTTGATTCCTTAATAAAACCTCGAGATGTCAAATTGGTGATTGGAACCATCTTTTGCAACCCTTGACTACCTCTACATCATAAATCCAAAATAGCCATATAATATGACCAAACTCATTTTCGACACTAAATAGTGATATGTTATGGTTCTAAATTAACTCTTATGACCCCCGAGGGACACTCCCTACATCCATTTCAAATTTGGAAATACTTCCTAAACTCGTCTAGAAGCATGGATTATAACCTTAGGTTTTGTACAATTTTATCTTTTTCTTGGCCCGAAAAAGAAGATGAAAAAGTGCTTCCACAGACCCCACGAGATCCCTTGGAGGTCCTTTGAGTGGTTGTTATCATCAATAAAGCCGGTTACATACACGCCTTTCTTCATAAACTCAAGGTCATCATGGGCCTTTATGTGACCAACTAGTGGTTGTATATGATTCTTAACAACATTATATGACCCCATGATGCATCTCCTATCATCACTTGAATTTTTGACACCATGTATTGACTTCAAATTTTGCCTTCGGAGAGCAAAGTTAGGCATCGAGGTGCTTCCCAGCCCCCCGGGGGACCTACTTGGTGCCTTGAACCATTTTATTAATACCTTACTGCCTCAGCGCCTTAGCACACCCCTTGTCGTCATGTATTAAGATGCCTTTATTTGGCCTTGCTTAGCAAACTAAGACACTACCCTTTATTGCCAAAAGTAGATATTTTATAAAGAGGAGTTCTTATTTTTTGCCTTGTGCCCATATCCCATGCCTTGTGCTCATGCCTCGTGCAGTCGTGCCCATGCTTGATATGCTAGGCCATGGTGTGCCTTGCCTTGGGCAGCAGCGCCCATGCCTAGGCCATGGTATGCTCGGGCTGATCATGGGCTCAAGTCTCACTAGGTAATCTAGGAATATCCAGCATAAGCAGTAAAAAGATTGGCCAGATATGTGCATAGATAATGACTGCAGTTATTGAAGGATAGTTGTGTGATTCAAGTCCTGTATAGCTTAATTAGTATTTTAAGAAGAACTATCAGATTAGGGGTGGGGATCTCTGTCTCCATGTGTAGAGGAGGTTGTATTTGTTAGGTTTTAGCTAGCTCCAGCCTTGGAAACATCCTCTGTGGATTTGGATCCCTGGGGAAGTACACAGCACCTAGTGTGTTTCTTTTTTCTTTTCTTCTTTTTCTTCTTTTCTCTCTCTCTCTCTCTCTCTCTCTCTCTGCTTTTAGTAAGGGTAGGGGATTGAGGAATTTTTCAAGAAGCATAAACTGAACTTGAGAAAATACAGATTAGTCTTTTGAGATTGACAAACATTCTATCTCACCCCACTAATACTCCCCCATCCACCCCACCCCCCCCCCCCCCACCCCCCCAAAAAAAAAAAACCTCAGGTAGATAATTAGAAATGCTATCTCAGAGATCAACTTATCGTATCTACTTTGACCTGTTTAGAAAGTCATGCTGTGTTGATAGGTTTATGTGCTACTATCATTTAGCAAGTAATTAAAAGTTTGGTGGCATAGTACACTATTACTGCCTGGGTTTACAATATGCAGATTTTATCTTTCAAGCTTTTTTCACATTGTAACCATGTAGGTGATTGTATTTAGGGGTTAAAGTGGTTTGGTGATGGATTGTTGGTCTTCATTGCCTGATTAAACTAACCGCACTAGCTTTTATCTAGGAAATAATGGATTATTTCTGGGAAAGCATGTGGAACTATGTACTGTTTTTTAAATGGTTGTGATTATGTTGCAAGTCCTCAAGAACAACCTTGTGAAGTTGGATATGGATAATATCTGGTTGATACAAACAGATCATACATTCCAGTCCTAAACTCCGTTGTTTGGATTTTTTATGGCCATGCTATCGTTTCTTTATTAGTATCCTCAAGATTCAACCCTCTTTGTCTGGATTTCCTTATTCTTTTTTGCTGTGTTATTTTAAAATTAGATTGGTTCACTGAGAGATTTTCTGTCTTCTGTGCAGATGCCAAGAAGCAATTCCAACAATTTGCCACCCAGACACTAACATCTCAGTTTACATCCACTATACAATCAGCCTTCAGTGTTGTGTGAAGCAGGAAATTGATGTACGTGTGATTTATGCATACATGTCAAACTGTAGAAGATATTCGAAGCTGAATACTTGAAGAATTTGTCGGGGCCAGCTGCTGATCAACTTAGTCTTGACTGAATTCATTTTTGGTGTCTATTTCCTGTAAAGATGCAGCTCGAATTTCGTGAATTCATAATGATTTTGTATAAACAACTAAATTAGAGCGTAAAGAATACTTGAATCTTTTTTCCTATTCTCTGAAAGATGGTCTAATTAACCCCCTCCCTCCCCCCCCCCCCCCCCCCCTCATTACACTGTGCAATGACCTTATGCCACATTCATATCAGAACTAGTTCCTGTCTTTGGTGCCTTTGTGCTCGCGAGGCTCGTCTTATAGACCTAATATTCTCCTATATAGACCTAATATTCTCCTGTAATTTTGTTTTACATAGCCATTATTTAGAAGCTCACCAAGCATGAAGAAGGTGACTTTCAAGTATCAAGTGTGCCAATAATCTTAACATATAGCATAACTTTTGGTGTTCATATGGACCTTTTTTTGTGTATCCTTTTGTAATTGCTAAATTCCCAACTTCCTTCTGGTGGCTTATTTTTGTCATTGCACAGTTGCACTTTGCATGCTGTAGACTGTAGTAGGGAATCTTATTCAAATCACTCGCCATAACTATTAGGAATTACAACGAAATACAAGGTAAAAGATGCGCAATGTACCTTACAAAGTCATTTTTTTAGCTTTGGATGAATTTGTGAACATGAGAGAAATATTGCTAAGTCGAGCCAGTACAATTTTGGCCAGGCAGGAGGCACCAAAGCATGGGACATGCCCATGGTGAGGCTTTGGGGCAATGGCATGTCACAACATAAGAAGTGTTGGATGGAATAATTGAGTAATTGGCGAAAAGTTGACTTGTGGGTATTATTACTCCACCACGCTCAAGTATTTGGTCACGTTAAAATAAGTTTTAATCGATATATATCAATAAGTTAAAAGAACAAAAATAATAAAGAATTAGCAAAAATAATTTTACTTCTCCAAAAATAATTTAAGTTTTAATAAATATCACGTGAGGAAAACAAAGCTTAATATAAACATCAATCGTCGCCTTCTTGGAGGTCTTGCAACATATTGGCATCCACCATACCACATCTTAAAGAGTAACTTATAGGGTTGCAATTTGCAAATCGATAGAATATCAAAACCCGTCAAAGCTCTAACCCTACAAATATTAGGACAAGTCAATATATTAATCTATAATGATATATCATTATTTTTGTATTTAAAGATAAGCTAATTTATTATTATTATTGTGTATGTGTATTTGTGTAAAGAGAGTTACAAAAGACAATGATATACACGAGATTCGATTTCAAGTCTTGGTTACACCTCAAGCCTTTAACAAACATATGATCATGCGTGACAATATAATTGTACATTATAGTCTTTTTTTTTTTTTTTCTTAACCCTTCCAAATATTAAAAAATAAAAAAAAATAATAAAAAAAAAAACCTCCACTTACTTTACCATTTTTTATCCTTCAATATAGTTTTCTCCTTTTCTCCTTTCTTACACAGTGTCATTTCTTCCTCCCTTCAACTTTCACCAGTGACAGCAAAATCTTCGCAAACAAAGTTCAATTTCAACATCTAAAATTTCTACTCATATTAAATTTCTCGACGCAAAGGGTCGAAGCTTTAACATCAAAATCAACCATTGAACCTCGTCATAATCTCCAGGAGAGAGAAAACCTGAGAAAGAGACACAAACATGCTACAATGCATATTCATCTTATCAGATTCTGGGTAAAATTCTTAAACTTCACAATCCCAGATTCCCCAATTCCTTCAACAAATTTCAATCTTTCATACTAATTTCAATTGGGTTTTTTAAATATCAATGATTTCAATAATACCCATATGAAAATTTTAATTACATGTTTTTTTTTTCTTGTGCTTGTGAATTTAGGGAGGTTGTGCTGGAAAAACAGCTGACCGGCCACCGGGTTGATCGGTCTATTTGTGATTGGTTCTGGGATCAAGCCAATTCTCAAGGTGATTCCTCTTCCAAGGTACCCTAATTTGTCTATTTCTATATAATTCGTGTGAATCATGTCAAATTAATACAACCCAAATAATTGTAAGGTTGATTGTTTGAATTTTTTGATAGCTTCCATCAGTTATTGCTTCACCAACATATTACATTTTCCACATTGTTCGCGATGGGATCATATTTTTAGCTTGTTCTCAAGTTGAAATGCCGCCTTTGATGGCAATTGAGGTTAGATTATTTGCTTATTGCTGAAATTATATTTGTTGTATTTGTTTGACTTCAAAAGAATGACCTGAATTTTGGTGTGGTAATGTGTATGCTTTTATATTGTAAGTAGTTGGTTAATTGGTTGCCTTTAGTAGAAGTGGAATTGACACTCAATGTCAAGGTTTGTAAAAGGAAATCTGTCAAATGATGAAGAAGGGGTGCTCATCTCCTCGAGGCCCCGTTAACCCTTTTGTAGGAGGGTAATCACAATCGATATTTTTCTCAATCTATGCATTTGTTAAAAAGAAATAGAAACTGCATTGCTAGTTTTAGCTCTAGCATATGGGTAACAGTTACTCCTTACTAAATAAAGCTTCTGCAAGCTATACTTGCGACTTGGGTTTGGTTAACACTTCTGTCATATAGGTACAGGAACTGTTGCACTCCACAGTTTATATCTTTATCCAAGTTTCTTCCAAACATAAAGATGTGATCGGTTATAGGGTAGCTTTGATGTGCTGGTGGTGTTAGCACAATCTTTGACAGATGGTGTATATCTTATGTCTTTGTTTGCTATTATGTGCTATACTGGTTACATGTATGATTGATACTTCTTGGCGTATCAGAATATGCACTTCATAGTTAATATAATTATCCTAGACCTTCCAACCTTAATGGTGTGCTTGGTTTAGGAGTAGTCTCATTGAACCCTTATGTGATTCTGCATATATGCCCTTGGTTGGACTGTTGGAGATGGCTATCTACTTATTCAATAAGGAATGCGCTAAAGTAGCAAGAAAGAGGCATATGAACCAATTTACACACTCCTGCACACGCCCTCAATCCCGCTAAATAAGTCCTAATAATGGTGATTCACAATATTGTGGGTCACAAATAAGTGTATACATTGTTCGTGGGTGGATGAATTACTTTATAGTGTATTTCACAGCGAGGATTTGGTAGGAAAGGGGAGGAGAGGGAGTCCAAGTTATCAATTATCTCTAGTGTGTAGATAATTTGCTTTATCCAAATAAAAGAATAATTTTACGGGTCAGACATGGAAGTTTTGGCAAAATATGCAGACTATAGGCAGTCCTCTGTGCAATGCTGGATCTCATCAAATTGTTCACACTTAAATCATGCACCCTGGGTTTAGTACTTTTTTACACCTTATAATATGAATAACATTGCAGTTGAACTTTAACTGTTCCACCTTTAGTTTCTTTGCAGAGCAGCTGATGTACTTTCAGACTATCTTGGAGGAATGAATGAAGACATAATCAAGGACAACTTTGTTATTGTGTATGAGGTAATTTTAAATTATCTGTAATCTATTTCTTTCATTACCCCCTGCTCTTCCTTATGTGCTCTTGTTATAGGATTTTCTAAAGTAAAATTAGACCATTTCTCTGACAACAGAGCCTAACATCCTGAGATTGTTTATGTGTGTTTGCTTTAGATATTTCTGAGTTTAGTAGACAGTATTTGATGTTTGCTTAATGCTTCTCCTTATTCTATCACTCAATAGTTGAAAGTTAGACCCTTGAGTTTATGAAGATATAATTCTAATAGTGGCACAGTATTGATATGTGATTTTGTCATATCCTGGCATATAGTAAATCACCTCTGCTATATGTATAGTTTTTCCATTGTGGCTAGATGTCATGAATCACCTCTTTGAATATAAGGTTGTGTTCAATTTATTCCATCAGTCCGTAATATGTGTTATTCATATGTACAAGGCTGTCTTTGGGGTTTGCTTCTAACAAGAATTCAAAGTGACTCAAGTTGTCTTGCAGCTTCTTGATGAGATGATCGATAATGGCTTTCCTCTGACAACAGAGCCTAACATCCTGAGAGAGATGATTGCCCCACCAAACATTATCAGCAAAGTATTGAGTGTTGTGACTGGTAATAGTTCCAATGTTAGCAGCACGCTCCCAGGTGCAACAGCATCATGTGTGCCATGGAGGACGACAGAACTTAAGCATTCAAGCAATGAAGTGTATGTTGACCTCGTTGAAGAAATGGATGCAATCATAAATAGGTTGGCATTGTTATTTGACTCTGCTTCCACTTTGTCCTTTAGTGTATTGAGGCTTAGATATTCTCTATTTGATGTTCTTTTTACATCTCGTCTATTTGAAGTGTTATCACTGCCAAAGCATTAGTTTCTGATAATTTTTTTTGTGCTAATTTGACATCAGCTAGATACAGTTTAACATTTATGTAGTACTTTGCTTAACTACACTTTCTTTGCTGATGTTGCTAGGGATGGCGTTTTAGTAAAGTGTGAGGTCTATGGTGAAGTTCAAGTCACTTGCCATCTTTCAGGTGTCCCTGACTTAACATTGTCATTTGCAAATCCCAGCATCTTAAACGATGTAAGGTTCCATCCTTGTGTCCGGTTTCGACCATGGGAGTCACATCAAATCTTGTCTTTCGTGCCACCTGATGGACAGTTTAAGCTTATGAGTTACAGGTGAGTAGATAGACACTCACATATACTTCCAATGATTCCATGATTTGGCTTCCTTATTCCTTGAGCTTTTACTATATTTTTATCTTCTTTTCTATTTGCAGGGTCAAAAAGTTAAAGAGTACCCCGTTATATGTCAAACCACAATTCACTTCAGATTCTGGTGCATGTCGTGTTAGTGTTATGGTTGGAATAAGGCATGATCCTGGAAAGACTATCGATTCTATAACAGTGAAGTTTCAATTGCCCCCTTATGTTGTATCTTCAGATCTGACAGCAAATCATGGAACAGTGGACATCCTTGCTAACAAGGTAACACTTTTATATGATTCCAGCAATTAGTGCAAAGATTACCTTTCCTTATTTAGCTTTGAATGAATGATTTTTTTTTTTTCCTTTCTTTTTCCTACTTCTGTGGAGGAAGGTGTCAGATTTGACTGATCCATGAACTTACATTGTACACAAATTCAGGTCTGTTCTTGGTCTATTGGCGGAATACCGAAGGACAAAACCCCTTCTTTGACAGGAACATTAATGCTTGAAGCAGGCTTTGAAAAGCTTCATGTATTCCCAACTTTTGTAGCAGAGTTCCGCATCATGGGTGTTGCTCTTTCTGGCCTGAAAATAGATAAACTTGAAGTGTCAAATGTAGCAAATCGCCCTTACAAGGGTTTCAAAGCTCTTACTCGAGCAGGGGAGTATCAAGTGAGGTCATAAAGTTAAAAGGCTCTGGATTTGTGCCCCGAGACCTTGGGAAACGACTGTACAAATAACATCTGCCTTTTTGAAGCTTTGCAGAAATCAGGGTGTTTCCTCGTATCTCAATCATTCATTGGACCTTGGTGCTAGGAATTGCATGATATCAGTTTGTCAATTTATGTGAGCCATCTTTAGAGCTTATGGTGTGTGAGAGTAGTTGATTTATTTATTTATTATGAGTTATCCGTATCATATGTGTAGACTTCATAAAAAATTAGCGATTCAGAGAGGTTAAAGAGTTCAAGTTCTGGGCTCTTTTATCCTTCTCTCCTTCCCCAATTACCACTGTAATTCCGATGGCAAAGGAGGCTAATCAAATCGTTTTACATGATTTGCTTTCTTTACCCATGATACTGTACTCTAAAATGTAGAAGTAACTACTAGACAAGCAAATACAACTAATTGCTTTCATGATCATTACAGAAGAGCTGTTTAACATTGTAATAATTTAATTCAAATTGATACAGCTCATTGAGATTGGAAATGGAAGACTATGGATGGAGTTGGAATCACAAAACTTGCTTTGTTAAATTGAATTTTGAGTTAAAATTGAACAAAAAATGCCTTCCACTCATAATAAATTAAGCAGTGATCTTGTTCACTCTGAAGGAATCCATTACTTGACGTAGGTCATTTTCTGCATCTCGGAATACTTCTTCGGGTACTTGTAGCCGTAACTCATACAGCCTGTTGTTTTCCACCCCGAGAACTGAAAGGTACCTTCGATCCCATTCCTTCCTAACCACACGATCCTCGGGCATCACAGCCAACTCATTGTTGTTGGCATATGACTTAATGTTCACCTGTTTACGGCATCAAAGCATGTCAGAAGGAATTACAATACCCCATAAGCAAACATGTTATCAAAATTAAAAAAAACACAGTTGCTACAACATGACAACAATACTACAATTTCTGAAAGGAGACTGATAGACATGCTTATAGATTTAGAAAGAACACGGATTGTCCTGCGAGCTAGAGTTTCCAAAATGGAGACACCATCACATTATTAAGTATCAATTGCAAGCTCAACACACTAGCAATCAAAAGCAAGGTAGAACCATAATGCCATGCTCAGCTTTCTTATTCATGCCATGTAGGGCCAGAAGTCCAATTCAGTTCACACATCATAGTTCCGTCTCTGCTGAATCCGAGTGGCTATAGTATGCTAGGAATTCCAATATAATTACTAATCCTAAATCTCTGAACCTAAAATTCCAGCTCTTATTCATTTTATGTTCGAGTAAACATCTAATGTTTAGTTGTCAAGGCCAAAGCGAGCCAGACACATGATCAGAACAAACTATGAAACTGTAACAGTCTATAACATCTCAGATCAGTAAGGCCCTTACTTCAATTTGATAATAGAGCCTCCCATCATCAGCAACTTTAGAAGATGTGGAGAGAACATTTGATTCACGCCGAACACCAAGTCTGGTAGACATGAACTCTGTTAGATATTGTTTCAACATGTTCTTCCCAGCTTCTTCTGGTGGACCCAAATCCTCAACACTCTTGTATTTAGATGATGAGGGTGAAGATATATCCACAGACAGATTTTCGTCAAGAACAAAAGGATCCCTGAAGAAAATATCTGCCCCAGCACCTTTCACTTGAATCCAGTTCTGAGGGTACCTTAGGGAATAACCATCGAAAAAATCTATATACTCCCTGAAACCAACAGATTGTAGAGCCTGTGCACGGTCTTGGGTTATGGTTTGTGTAGCAATGCATCCAGAGAAAAGCCCCACCAATGCGTTCCTTCTTGAGACAGCAAAAGTTGGAGTCTGATTATATGGTAGAAAATGTCCTGTGAGAAGCCCATTGCAGTAATAATGCAAGTGTTACTAATGAAAGAAATGAGAATCATTGGAGAAGCTAAAGCAATGAACCTCTAGATGTATGAATGTATGATTAAAAAATTCACTACAAGAAAGCTGATCAAAGCATCCTAAAATATGTCTATATTAGTACATTCAATACGGTGATACCTGTAGAAAATGAATTTGTCTGTAAGCCAAAGTATATCTTGATTACATGATTAAAGCTAAAGAATACACAGCACAAGCAACAAAATCTAGAAAGAAGCCAAGTAACCAATATATCCTGGAAACTCAAGGTCTTTCTCCCTATTTTAAGCAGGATATTTGATCAAATTATTAAACAAAAAACACATTAGTTTAGGTGCTCTCATTATCTACACTCGTCTGTAGTTCAACATTTCTCCCCCTCTCCTGAATTTGTAATGCTGAACTCGGATACGAGTGTCGGATTTGGGTACTGTTATGAAGCACAGGTTGATGAATGCATATAATTTTTCCTATAATCTCTTGGGCATAACCACATGATGTTGGGAAATGGGAAGTCCATCTTAATCAAAATTTCAGTTTGTACTTAATTTGATGGTCAATGGATGATTTATGTGTAATTACTATACTAATTAGTGTAATGGGTTGCTTATTCTTATGTCAATTTATCAAATCATACAAGATACATTATTATCACCAATGACACCAAATGCAGTTCATAATGTGCAAGAAAACCCACAAAGGCCACAAATAAACAGAAATTAAAGCACCTATAGAAAATATATATATTGCTAAGTATAATTATAAGTAAGAATACAACCCATTAACCAAAAATTCACAATCAGAAAACAAAACAAAACAAAAAAGAAAAAAAAAAAGGATAAGGAGATAGCAAAAAGGCTTACAGTTTGAGCTTTGCAAAAAGTCCTGAAAGAAGACTTCAATTGAGGAGATAAATGTGGGAAAACAAAGGATCCCATTTGAGGACTGGAAGTATTTGTGTTGGTGGGTAGAAAACTTGAGGAGAGAGAAGGCGCCGGAAATGATTTGAAGATGATGATGGACGCCATCTTCGTTATCTACTTAGGACTCTCTTTCTACTTTGAAGGGTCCGTTTGTTTCAAGAGACTACTATGGATTATGGATTGAAGTACAAAGTAATTAAAGCCGGATCCCGGGCTCGGGTTGAACCGGGCCGGGTCGGGAATGAACCAATGAAAAATTATCTCGTATTGGGTTCGAATCGTTTCTTAATACACGGCCCAGTCTGCATATAGTGTTGTATCGTGTAACTCGTGTTAGCAAACAACAAGTTCCTTAAAAATTGTAAAAACTTTGTAAATTGGTTAAAATTGGCAAGCCAACTTGCTAATACTCATGCCGGGTTGTGCCAAATTAATGATGTATATGCATGGACTATTGTCCATCGTTGTGCCAGGTTGGGCCAATTTTGTGTCGAACTTAAGTGACTTATGTGCAAGCCCAAAGTTTTTTAACTGCATTATTATTTTCTTGTCCCACTCTTACACTGATGAGGCAAAAAAAAAAAAAAAAAAAAAAAAACCAACTTTATTATGTAAGGACGTAAGGTCGATGTTGGGTAGATATTGAATATTTTATCGAGTGTCCGGATGATGATTATCACCCTCTCAATATTCTTATATTAATATGGAGTATATCTTTACTTCTTTGGATTTCGGGTTGACTCCTTGTAAATGTCTTATGAAAATTTTGTCTTTTTTCATGTGAGGTAAAAAATGAGTAAACTTTAGAGATTTGTTTAGAAAAGATTTGTTCAACACTAATAATGACGATAAGAACACTGGTAGATTATTATAATTTTGATATGAAGAGATATGGAGAAGTTTCACAAATGTCTTGGAGAAATTTCAAATGATAAAAAAACACCAAGGTGGCACTTGGAATGGGGATAATAAATTAAAGGGGTAATAAAAGTCAAATTAGATAATTATAGTTAATTAGAGGTATTATTGTAGGGAGATAAGGTATATATGAATTAATTAAGGTTGTAGTGACATAAGAAAAAGAGAGGGGTGGAGGAATCATTACCCTCAAAATGAGGGTAATAGGTTACCCACCCTCCCCCTAGTGTAACCTATTACCCCCAAAATAAGGGTAATAGTTCCCTTTCTTCACCTATCAGGATATCACCACACCATCACTATATAAATCTTCTTAAAATCACATCATTACTAGCTCCCCCTCTCCTATGTTTACTTTAATTTTGCTTGGTTTGACTTTTATTACCCCTTAATTTAATACTCCCAATCCAAGCGCCCCTAAAAAGTATTTGTTAAGTGAGAGGCTCAATCCATGGGACGACCGGATAATTTGCCTCTTATTAAAGTTGCTAAGGGGACACCTAGTCCAACAAATGGGAGTAGTTTAATTAGGGATTATATATTTTTGACAAAAATTAGGGATTATATAGGTATACTAATGAGTGCACACCCTAATTTTCAATAGTGTTCATATTTTAGAGTTGAGTTGAGACACAATAACCTATGAGACAAATTTAGCTATGCGAATGAGGATACTGTAGACAATCAAGATGTTATACTAGCCTTGTAAGGGAGGAAATGCATATTGGTTATCAATATTGCCTAATGGCACGAAATCTAAATTGGGAACTTGAAGTACTCCATTTTTGCAGAGAAGAAAACAGGGCCATGAATTGGGTGGCTATTATTGGGCAGATTAGATAACGAGGTTGAGTTAAGCTTCTCCATTGTAATTGACTCATATTCTTTGCTAAACTATTGTAGGATTAGCTAGAGGTGATCAAGATCAACTACGGCCCGTCCTGCTATCCCCAATCGACCTGATCCGAAAAAGTATAGGTTTAGGCAAACCTAAAAACACATTTTTAGTTATACACTCGAACCCGGCTCGAAAGGCTTGCTTTGGCCTGAAAAGCTCACAACTTTTTGCAGATTTTTGCATAAGATTTGATGCTAAGGTTCGCCCCGGGCCAAATTTTGATCACGTCTAGGATTATCTATTCCGTGAAATCCTGAATCGTTCTAGCTAATTTGTTCGATATCTTTTCATTGTTACAATAGACTCGATCTCACAGAAAATAAATTAAAACTTTAAAGTTTATAATTTTGGATTAGGAGTATGAATATTTGGACATTATCTCTTACGAATAATACTTTGCTCCATTGGAGTAAGATTTTTATTTTTCATCATGGCAACTTGCAAATTAAAGTAGCCTTATGTAAAGACGAATAGCATAACGTACACGTGCCGTCATAACAATGGCTCGTAAACCTCGCATAAAACCAATTCTTACATGACACGTTAACGGATAATATCTACATTACCCATTTTTTAATTCATCATTTTCAATGAAAAATGGTGGGAAATTAAATTACGGCGTCGAAAAAAACCAACATTAA